TCTCGACGATTTCTCGAATGTGGCAGAGCGTGACATGTTGCAGCCTTGGTCCGGCTCGGCTGGCATTGGACAGCCTTGCTCAATGAAAATCTAATTTCTTTATTTATTTTATCTGCTTTAATTCTAATCTCTTCTCAAGAAATAATGAAAAGTTGAACGTAGATTTGAGTTCTCTTAGTAAGGCTATTAGTTTTGTCGACGTCTTTCTAAATATATTAGCAGTATGTCTTCCCTTAAGTTTCTCACAAAAAATATGTTTATTGGTCCCCAAATATGTAATGTGACTATTTGAAATGCCATTTTGCCAGTTATTCCTCTGCCGTAGCACCTAAATAAAACTCGCATGCTTGTCTCTACCTCTTGAAAAATAATCATCTAATTTCCTATTCTGTTTGTTTCTTTCTTAGGTGGCAAGCCAAGAAACTTACGGAACTCTGGGTGCCATTGTGAAAAGTAGGACAGGAAGCAAACAGGTTGGTTTTCTTACGAACCGGCATGTTGCAGTTGATTTGGATTACCCTAACCAGAAGATGTTTCACCCCTTACCACCTAATCTTGGGCCTGGGGTCTACCTTGGTGCTGTGGAAAGAGCTACTTCATTCATCACAGATGATTTATGGTTTGGGATCTATGCTGGAACCAACCCAGGTAACATTCTCCCAATTTAATTTTTGGATGATGATCTGATATCTAAACATACTCGTTATTTTCTGATGCACTTACAGAAACCTTCGTTCGTGCTGATGGGGCGTTCATTCCGTTTGCTGATGACTTTGACATGTCAAATGTGACCACATTGGTTAAGGGAGTGGGTGAGATCGGGGATGTTAAGGTTGTGGACTTGCAGTCTCCAATCAACAGTCTTATTGGAAGGCAAGTGGTGAAGGTTGGAAGGAGCTCTGGTTTGACTAATGGAACAGTCATGGCCTATGCCCTCGAGTACAACGATGAGAAAGGAATATGTTTTTTCACTGATTTTCTCGTCGTTGGTGAAAACCACGAAACTTTTGATCTCGAAGGAGACAGCGGCAGCCTCATTATTTTGACAGCGCAGGACAGTGAGAAACCTCAACCGGTAGGAATAATATGGGGGGGAACGGCAAACCGTGGGAGACTGAAGCTTAGGTGTGGTCATGGACCGGAGAATTGGACTAGTGGAGTTGATCTTGGCAGGCTTCTTAATTTCTTAGAACTTGATCTAATCACAACAAATGAAAGTCTGCAAGGTTTATGCTTTTCTTTCCCACAAACTATTTCATTAAATATCTAAGGTAGATTTGCATACATACCACTCATTTTTTATTTATTTACTTATCTAACATCTTTAGCTTCAATTTTTTACATATATGCCACCTAAGCGCTATACATGAAAAGGTGTATTTCACTTTTTATGAGTTAAAAATGTGGTTTTTATTGATGTGATATGAAAGCTCTGGGTGGCACAAATGGAGAAAGTAAAGTTTAGGTATTAGATATGTAAATAGATAAAAT